TGCTCTTGAATTATATTACCCATTAGATACTCACGTGTGCCTTGTGAAAAAATAATATTATTATTTATTATACCTAATCTAACCTTAATTAATCTGAAGAGATTCTTATTTTTACATTTTAGTTACTTTTATAATAATAAATAAAGAATACACATGAAAAATAAGAAATAAAGTATTTAACTGGACCTTTTTTTGCTGTCGTCTATTGACTACACTTGACCCTACTTAAAAAAATAAATAATGGTAGTAGTGCACTAAATTTCTTATCTAATTAAATAATGCACCAAAGAACATAGAATAATAACATGCAATCTACAGTATTATCTACAATAAGTATATTATGATATAATCACAATTGATATAACAGAATTATCTATGGATTGAGTGCAAAATGACATTGCAATTTTGACAGAAAAGATAAATCTGGTATTCCTAGTTGGATTTAATTTCTGAAAAGAATGTAATTATATTATTGCACACAATTTCAGAAATATAAGAAACATATTTAGGCCTATTCTGAGATGTACAGCATAATTCTTTGACATATTAAACAATTTGATAATTAGGAATCATGTTTATGTTTCAACTATTTTATTCAGTTGTTAAGATACTACGAAATGATCTCATAGCACAAAGTTAATATTTGCAGAAAATGTTTAATTCTTGTATGTGTTGAATGAAACAAAATGAACAATATAAATGAATAAAATAAATATTCTTGAGTTTTTGTGGTTTTAAAGTTTTTAGGCTTAAAACAGTCCAATTTGGGCCATTCAGGCCCATTTTATGCTGACAAAAATATGTTACTTAATAGAATAGAACATAAAACAAATATGTTCATGTTTTTGAAGAAATTGAATGAATGAAACCTGAAAGAATAAAGAATATTGACTTCTTTGACCGAAAAGGCCTGACTGAGGGTATAAAACGGGCCAAAATGGGTTACTCAGAACCATTTGTGAGATTGCCAACAATGATTTTCAAATTCCTGAATAAAATATACATTGGCATGTTGTACAAAAAATGTCAGATATTTTCAATTTTCAGATGCCTTTTCAAGATTTTCTTCCTGACTATAAAGTATTACTTGAGTAATAAAGCTTATGCAATGCTTGGTTAAAGGTTAAAATGTAACTAGTTTAAACAAAATGGGTTGTTGGGTAGTACACATAAATTAGTGGTACTTATCTAATGTTATGGTACAAAACACTGAAAGTTAGAGAAACAACAGGACAAGCATTGCGTGATAAAATCAATCTACACTGCAGATGTTTCAGGACTATTAAATTTGCATTAAAAATAGCATATTTTCAATCACTTCATTTTACATGATATTGACTGAAAATAAATACTTGCATTACTTAAATTTCCATGCTATCTATATATATCATATTAGACTCAAAGTAGGTTATACAATAGTAAACTCTTGGCAACTGAGAAAGCTATGACAATATGGAACTTGTGTTTAAACTTAAAGTTTAAAAATTTAGATCACGATTTTATTAGTTTAATGATACATTAGCTTACTTTTTAATAAAGTAATTTTTTTAAAGAAAATGTCCTCAAAAAGAAAAAATGAGATGCCTAAAAGGGTGTTTAAATGCAACAGGTTAAATAAGTAGGTACATAGATAATTTTAGCTGGATTAAAGTGGATAAGAACATACATTGTTCTATCAATTTTTTATTTCTTTTCTGAAAAGTAAAAACTGTGATAAAATGGAATTTTTAGCTATTTTCTTGCTAACCACTTCGTTATTCAAATTTCTCTTTAAAAAAGTCCAACTTTACACAATGACTATTTATTGAAAACTAAACAAAAAGATCATAATACGTAGCTACCTCACAAGTATAACAGTAAAACTTCATGGTCTCGCCAACATGATTTGGACATTCAATGGGTTTGTGGAGGATTATCCCATCTCCAGAAGTTTTCATTTCTTCAAAGGAAACCACCTAGAGAGTATATACATTTGTTGTCTCATTAAATGTATTCAATTTTTGTCAATAAAGAATTTCAACATCACATTATACTACAGTTTCTAATTTTTAGTTTAAAAAACAAAAATTATTTTTATCTGTAAGTCTTGTTTTGACAAGTAAGTTAACATAAAAATGGATTCAATGATATATTTTTTTTTACATTTTATTACATATTTATAACAAAAACTAAGTCCAGAGAAGAAGAAGAATAGCAGTGTGACATTATTTGCAAGTTACCTTGTGATTTTCAAAACACCTCATATACTGGTGGGCCGTGACACAATTAGAACAGAGAAAAGTGGCACAGTCACTACACCTAGCAACAGCCTTTTCTTTGGCCTTGCAACTGGTGCAGATAATCTGTGTATTCTCAATGGCAGAAATATCCAGTTGGTTGCTGGTCACGAAATCCAATGGAAGTCCAGAAACACCTTTTGAAAATAACTAAAAAATGGAAAGTGTGTAGATTCATTTCTGAAGTGAGCACCAATTAACATATGAAGAGCACATTTTCATTACCTTACAAACACACACATCAAAAATAAATTTAATAATCAATCTAAATTTATGATATTAATAACTGACAATTCTTCTACAGTTAAAAACAAAGCATCTGAATAAAAGAAAATGTAAGACTTTCCAGTGGGCCACTGCAAAAATAGTTTGTTTTTCTAAAAATATAGAGCAAATTGTGCTTTCACAAACCAAATTAGAGTTAAATGTATACAAATAATTTATAATTATCTAATAATCAGTGCAAAATTCTATGCTCATAATGAAATCCATTATTTTGTGTATGACGATAGGTTTTAGCATGCAAATTCTGATAATGAAGTTTGAATTATTTTCCCACATCAAGAATGCTGCAAAATTGTTACTTCCATGAATTTGTACTGGATAATTATGATAATACAACAATTACAGTATGTAATTTTGTGGTAATGTTTCTGGCTAAAAAAATAGATTACCTTCAAATTTTAAAAGTTTTTAAGACTGTTTTGAGCAAACATGAAGGAAATAAAGGACAGGTATGAAATAAAGCTTTTTTATATGTTTAAAATTTTCACTGGGAGCCAAGAAATATCAAAACTCTTGCATTTAGAACATTAAACCATAAGCATACACAAGTACAACAAAAGCACACCCAACAAATTATGATTGGTCTGGGATAATGTCTGAAACAAATCAACTATTTGGAAGTTTACCAAGATGAATATCTAGCAAGAATAACTAGTTTGTGAAAAAATTTAAGTAGTAGCCATTGGTAAAAAAGAGTAATATATTTTGTATATTATTGAAAATTACATTTGAAGCTTGAGTTCCCAAAATACCTGTCATACCTCACCAACATACCCATTTCATGTGTTGAAACCCTGTTGTTTCAATCAGATATAAACTAGTAGTTTTGACGATGTCATCAGTAAATTATGGAAATTTGTACCACTGAAAGTTTGAACCTTTGTTTGGTAATGTTTTCAAAACCTTTGAAGGTTAAAATTTACTTTACAGTACAGCCATAGAAAGAATACATTAAACATTACATTTACATTTTATAGTTCAGGCTGAAAGAAACTGTAAAAACAAATATGCATGCTAAGAAATCAAACAAATTAAAAGCTTTTTGTACTATGCAGTGTTTAAGTGGCAGGTGACAACTACCAGACTTTTATTTTCCTTTTCTTTTATTATCCTTCCTGTTTAGCTAGAACTATTTGTAATTAAACAGGTGTACTGTTTATGCAAATAGGTTAACAACATAATAGTATTACATATTGTCAGACTGCCTAATATATATTAACCCTACCAATACAGACTGGATGTAATCGACCCAGCCTGTAACCATGAATGTGTTCATGAGTAATTATACCATGATTTTTTGATAATGTATGCATATCTTTTTTCTTTTTGAATGTTGACTATCCAACATGCAAGGTAATTTTGATTTTAAGATTAAAAATACTTTTATGCATCAGAACATTTTTAAATTTCACATACAAAGTCTTTATAACCTCCAGATAATTATCAAATGTTTTTCTAGAAAAAACTATATTTTATCTGTTATTTTCACTACTGTGTATCTATATGGGTTGGGTCGATTTGACCGACCTCATAACCATCATAAATATTAGGAAATAAATATAAATCATGTTTTTTTTGTTCTAAAATGACTATGAATTATAACACAAAAACACAAATGTTTATTCTAAATAGCTTAAATCTCATAACATTATACATTTATATATAAATATTTATCATACTGACCTTTCAGCCATGTCAGGCTAATATTACAGATGTTGCATTGATGCAGTGCACATGCACTCATGTTATCATATTCAAGAACATAAAACTCGCCTTTACAAAGTGACCTGTCTTGGCTTTGTTTTAGTGGACTAGTATTTTGTAAAATACAGTCGCATTTCAGTTATAATACATTATATATATATATATATTATTACTATTTACAAACTAGTTCTTAATCTTATTTTTCTTATAACATAAAACAGTAAATAAAGAATTATAGGAAACAATCATCTCTTCTAGTTACAAACTTTGTACTCGCTTGCTGCTTGCCATAGGTTGCTAAGCCTTATCAAATTTCGCACATGGAGGATGTGAAATGAAATAACTTTTTTTTATGTATACATTTTGAAATAACAAAAAATCATAAAGTACTATATCAATACCATAGAATTCTATTATAATTTACCAAGCTTCGTAACTAAGCTGTATTTGGGTCTAAAAGAATTTGAAATTTTGAACTCACTAGTCTTACGTTATCACTTGGAATCTAGCATCAAAAGAAAGAATTTGCCACCAAAAAATTTCAAAGAGGCTAAGAAAGCCTCTAGGGGAAATTCTGAGCTTTTGACTGGTTATTCACATATCATATGCATAAGTAGGTGTACATAAGCAAGTGTTTCCAAAAAAGAAAAAATTTAGGCGTGGTCACTGTGTTTGATTCAGTAAATATATCAATTTTTCAGCAAATAGAAAAGATAGGAGGTTCTTATTTTAAACTCTAGCTTGACAGTATCAGTAATTTGAGTTCTTAATTTGTAAGAAACTATAAACTTTGTATTTGGACATCACAATCATCTAATTTGAACCAATTCTGCATTAAACATACCACGTGTCACACAAAAATCAATATTTAAGATTTCTTTTTTAATATTTCCTTTTAAATTAAGAAATTAACTAATGGATAATGCTAAAATTTGAGTTATAATCTACAATTTGATACCAAACTTATCAACATACATTAATAAAATAGTAGTTCAATCAAATTTTGAACAAGAGTCAACAAACATGATGACATGGAGTTTGACCCGTGACCTGTATCGACAGAGTTAAAGCAATACTAGCCACATTGGTATCTTGTAATAAGTAACCAATATATTGAGTTAAAACTATGCTATTATTTAGAGATACAAGGTAAACACATACAGGCGTCACTGTGGATTATTATGTAATAAACAGCCACTAGGCTACAATCTCATATATTAAACTTTTCATTAGATTCCTTTGTTCACCTTCGAGGAGTTTCTTCTAGTCACTTTCCCACAAAACTACAAACCTCCTGCTCACATCACTTTATTTACTATACATTGAGGTAGAGAGTCTATATTCTGCTCCATCTAATGGTATTTAAACCTTGCCTGTAGATATTTTCAATGTTGCTCTGCATTAGTAATTCAAATCACATGCTGTGTCATCATATAAAAGAGTGAGAATGAAGGGCTGTAATAATAAAACCTCAGACAAGTAAAACCACAAGAAAAACAAAACATAACTCATTATATTCTTAAAAAATAATAGTTTCTTAGCAAATATAATTTATTTTGGTTGGTCAAAAATGTTTTTAAAATCAATGTGTTTTGTTCAGAGACAAGACTCCTTGGAGCTTTGCAAAAATGCATGTTTGAATATTTGTTAAATTTTTCTCTGCAAATTATACTAAACAAATGATACAAAATAATAAAATATCAATTTTAAATATTTTTGAGTCAAATATTGTTGAAATAGATAGAATTATTATTTTTGTTAAATTCAGAAACTTCATATGCTCGTATGCACTTCATTCGTGAAATGTGTACCCTAAACATTATAGGATTAATTCATCTGTCCCTAACTGTAGCAAATACATTACGATGGTCTACAGCAACATTCTACTTATTAAACCATAGAACTGAGAAAAAATAAATATGTATAATATATCCCTATAAATACCTTAGATTCTTGTTTACATTCTGGACAAGTTAAAACATCCAATGTTTCACAAGGTTCCATATCAAGCTGTTTGTTTGTCAAGTCGAGCAACTCTTTTTCTAAACAGGTCTCACAAAACACATGAAGACATGAAAGAACCCTAGGTTGCTTCAATTCTTGATTACAAAGGTTACAGAAGTGGTCATTTTCAGGTTCTGGAGATGACTGAAGTGGAGAAAGCTCATTGGATGCCATGATGAACAATCTTCACACCTATAGAAATATTTTAATGTCTTTATTAGTCATAGTACATTAAAATATAGAGGGTTTAGTAACCACAGCCAATATAAAGTTGCAATGGAACTGTATTAGAACTACTTTTTGAAATTACTTAGCATTTCGTAGGTAGTGTTATGCTACTGAAAAGTTATCGATATTGGGAATGGTATGTTACAGCCCTTTCTGATGCAAAATATTTCTACACTCAGATCACAGTTAGTCCTTAATGGCATTGGAAATTAAAAGAATATCAACTTGGGGTACCAAGACCATCCAGAAAAAAGACCTGCAACAAGTCATCCCTAGTTGTGGTAAGCAAGGTGCAGTGTTTTGTAACAGGACAGAATTTGGGAATATAAAGTTCAGTGGCAAAAGCTATCCATATGTCCCAGACAACAGTATGCAACATAATCAAGAAAGATCTTCATCATAAAAAGTGACACAAATCATGTATACACAAATTACTTCCACAACGTAACCGTTTAGGTGTTGCATGCTTTAATCAATTGGAGAATGAAACTGGTATTCATTCCATTATATACAAAGACACAGTGGTCAAATTACCAGATATAAAAACTATGAATTTCTATGCAACCAGACTACTGAAATGGCTTATGGAAAGACTGGAAAGAGGAGGAGTGCGATTTGGATATGATAGTCTTTTTTGCGATGGAAATTACACTGCAGGGCTACTGTTAAGATACATGGTCTTCAGATGGAGCACAAACAGACAAAGTGAGATGGATTAAGTGGTGAGGTTTCAAAATCATTCTAATACAGTGTACTCAACAACTTTATATTGTACACACACACCCTCACATATCTCTATTAAATTACATCAATTCGTGTTTATACTTCACAAGGGATTTCTGTTTCTCCAATGAGTGGCAGAGTAATGTAGATAAAGATGTATTCACCAAAAATCTCAAATTATAATTATGAGATTCTCTGCATATCATAGATAATCTTTATTATATGGTGCTTTTGTAATAGCAAAAGTATCAACTGAAAAAATATCTTTACCAATACTTATTAAACTATTGTGATAATACACAATTTCATGGACTGCACTTGAAACTTTTGCACACTAATATTCTTACTGATCTATGACGTTAACATTTATTTTTTGTGACTGAAATTATGAGAAAAATACTACTGGCTTTTTGGGTTAAATTTTTACACACTATAACAAACACCAGTGCTGAATTAAGCTCTTAGCTAACTAAGCTACAGCTTAGGGCCTCCAATGTATAGAGCCTCTTAACCACCTCTAAAAAAGAAAAAACACTCCATTTAAATTATTCTATCATATGGGACTTCTTACACTTGAAACAAATTAGGGCCTCAGAATTTCATAATTCAGGACTCACTCATACAGACAATAAAAACTTGAAATAAGCAGATCACTCTCTAGTTACAGATTTTGTCCTCCTTTATGCAGTAATTTTAATTTTACACAAACTCCCAGAGTATGTTGTTAGTCATTTTCACACATATTTTATTCATATTTAATTAATATTGCACAATTATTATGTTCCTTAATTTAAAATAAAACCTTATTCAGCATGCACTATGCACAAAGAACCTTCGCCCCCAAAGAACAAGGAAAAATAATTTTAAACATAACCAGAATCAGGGGGTATTAGTGATGTACAATTCAAAATTAAATACCATCATACAGTAAGACAAGAAGTGAAATACAATCAAAGTTTTTCTTAGGTTGAACAAGTTTGGTGTTAAGGTCCTAACTTTTATATGGAAGTCAATCCATAAGTACACACGACTGGAATGATCAGGAAATGTTACATCAGCCACTGTGAAAACATTTTTGGCATCTAATTTGTTTCTATAAAAAGTAACATTTAAAATATAAAATATTTGGTATGAAACAAGATATTAACAAATTCATGAAGTTGAAGGCATATTTATATTAAGTCAAGTTCAAAATGCTAAAATACCAGTTATCTTTTTTTCTTACCAGAGTTTCCCATTACTTCTGTGACTACAACATATTTATTATTGATCTTACTTTTGCTATATACACATTATTTTGAGTTTAATCCTGCATTATAACTGAAAATGTTTATTTCACGTTAATCATATTTTTAAAAAAAATTCTATAAGTAATTTAAATTAATTCTGTTTCTCAAAAATTAATTAGCTATTCAAACATACAGTTAACCAGTGCTGGCTCAAGATTAAAAACTGAAGGGAGCAAAAATAAAAAATTGCATTCTTTTTCAAATTTTTATTCAGTTTTCTGTGCTTTATAAAATTGTAATTAATTTTGTAAACTTCAGAATACTGAATGCAAAAATTGGACACAGAAAAAAATACATATAAAAACCAAAGATTAATCTTTAGAATATGGAACGTTATGAGCTTTTAATGTGGCAAAACTTTTCCTTAATTTCTCTGGCCATTTCATTTTCTACGGAAAATATTACTAGACCATTTAACCTCTCTTGTATCATTGTGGAATGAAAAACATGCCACACTAATGGGCAAAGCTAATAAAATTCTTTGAACAATAAAGATATTTGGAAAATTTTCTTTTATTTCATTTTCACATTTTATATATATAAAATAAGACCTTATCTGGAGTTGAACTTTCCAGTATTTGATGTGATATTAATAAGTTCTGCACACAAACTTTCACCATAAATATACCTTTTCTCTTTGCTTGTTAGGGTTTTTTCTTAATTTTAAATTTTTGCACCCCTAAAATTTTGTGGTGGGTTCTTTGAGCTCTTTGAATCTGCCTGGAGCCAGCCCTGCTATTAACTAGACAATTTAATGTTATCTACCCAATCTTCAGTTACATACCAAGATTCATTAACTGACCTCAAGTGTTTGGAATGAAATTATAATTGACTGTGCTATAAATTTTTTTCTAAACAAAAGAACCAAAAAATATGCAAGTTACACTATATTTATATGTGTATATTAATGATTATTTAAAATAATGATGTAACTATATTTTATATATATTAGATCATAAAGTTAAAAGCTATGAATATAGAGCTGGGTGATTATCTCTATTACCTATGAGAATTAATTATATTGATTAGTCACATAAAACAATCAATCATAATTACAATTAAATTGATTAATGTCATGATAATTCTCAACTAATCCGATTATTACTGTTTTTGATTATTTCAACTATACAAGTCTCATGTGGGAATAATTGATTACTTGAATGTAAATTATAGTGGGCTCGATGATTGATCAATTATAAAGTTCCATTAGTTGCTTAGCTCTAATGAACACTGATGTGACTATCTGGAATGGGAAGTCAGATAATTGATATTTCACTATATTCAGATATTTATTGTAAAAACGGGCATTGTATTACAGATTTCTGGTGAAAAAATTGATCCCCTCCCAGAAAATAAAACTGTATCCATTTATCAATAAGCTTTTGATTTTTTCCCTTCAAATACAAATGGCAAACATTATTAGTGTACTATAGTAATGATATTAAACATGAAGCATCATATAGGTAAGATCTCCAACTGCCAAGTCTCGATGAATATTGATAAAACCAGAGATATGTGTGCATATCATGAATTTTTTTCCTTCTATAATTATAGTTTTTTTTTATTACTTAGTTTCTGCACTATCATAGTGGCTACACATGGTTCAGAAAGTTGTTGCCTTTGCTTTATTCTCTAACAGGTGACATTTGTTCTGCCCACAGGGATATTTCAGTATTTTAAGTGGACTTTGAATTGGATGGGTTAGTACCGAAATATCCTTGGGTGGCCAGTTATGACACTGACCGAAAGTGACAATCAAATATTGCTATCAAGAACAAAAATTACAAGGTGATGCCATCCACTGGACAAAGAAAGCTAGTTTACATTCTAGATCCAAGCACACTTTCCACATTCAATTCTACTTGGTTTTCATTGTGACTAGTTTGGCAGAAATTCATCTTGATGGACACAAAGCTTGTGAGCTATTCACTGATCCAGTGGAGGCAATCATTCACTTGTCTATGCAAATATGCAAGCAGTTTTGTTTGGTTATGTCTAAATATTGTTTTTACTGTTCTTTAATTGTGTTTAAACTAGTTATTTCTCATGTAACTTAAAATTCAGTCACGTTAATAACTACAGAACACTCCTCCTGATTGGCATTATAACACCTACATTGTTTAAACATAGTAATAGAAAAATAACAACTGTTCTCAAAATTTTTACATGATGTCTATGGGAAAAAAAATGTTGCCACAAGTGCATTAATCATGACTATGCCACAGAAAATGCTGTGGTATATCCTTCCACATACAGACAAAAATAAGAAACCCTATTACCAAAGCACTTTCAAAAGATAGACTTTTCTTCATCAGGTGCAAACTGGAAAACTTCCACATAGACACACTTACTACATAAGCAGGGTACAAAGCAAGCATTTTAACCAAGATTAAAAAAAAAATGTGCATTAGGTTCGTATACTGATTAAGTATTTTTGGCGAATACATAAAATTAGGAGAAGCTTTACTCATGCATCAACTTTGTCACTTTCCACCCATATGGTATTCAACTTCCTTAGCAAGCCAAAATCAAAACTTGTATTATTTAATACTAGCAAAATACAGTGATTAGCCATCAAAATTTTGTTTTCTGACGCTTATATATTCCTCATTTTTCAAATAACATAAAACTGAAATCTTTTCAGTTTGTTCACTAAAAATTAGTAGCTTAAATATGTCACAATAATGGAAATTTGAAGTAGTAAACTTCACAATCCCCTTCTGTACTAAAACAAGCAACAATCCACAATGCAACTAATTCATACTACACATGGTTTGACAGATTGCATGTTAGTTTCATATCACATTTTGATTAAAATAAGCAACAATCCACAATGCAACTAATTCATACTACACATGGTTTGACAGATTGCGTGTTAGTTTCGTATCACATTTTGATTAAAATAAGCAACAATCCACAATGCAACTAATTCATACTACACACGGTTTGACAAACTGCACGTTTGTTTTGAATCACATTTTGATCAAAACAAATGATTTATTATTTGAATTAATAAAGTGTAAATTTTTTTAGTAAATACTTTGTCCATTAAAAAAGGGTAGTGTTTTACAATTACTCAATAATGACTGGACAGCAAAGCCTACACATTCAAAACTATAGTAGGAACTTTCACAAATTTGACATTCGCTTTACTTTGTTACAGCAATTCAATAAATTCAATCTAATTGAAATTTCAAATTATACAATGTGAAGTAATAGTATTATTATATATTCTTGTTAGTTATCATCTGTGGAGTTGTGTATAAAATCTTAATTTTTGACATTATTCACAAGACGTATCTGAAAATTAAAGGAAAAAAAATTAAAAACAATGGAAATTTATTTCATATTTCCAAAGTATTTTTCTAACAAATGTCATAAGATCTTCACACTTGCATCAAAGTAGTGATACTGTTTTAAAAAACAAACAAACAGATAAATTTGTTGCCTGTGTGAACCTTGTATTTGGCACCCCTGACCCTGTAAAATTGACAAGAACTGCTAATTGCAATGTTGGTTTTGGCACCCACCTCATGAGGTGGGTGCCCTATGCAGGAGCACACATTGCCCACCTCAAGAGCTGGCCATGAAGCTGCTAAAAAGTTGTTTCAAATGTAAAAAGTATTTCTCGCATAAACATGTTTTTGTAAAAATATAAAATTACTGTAAAGGAATATAATGTAAATTTTTTAAATTTGCAAATATCTAACACTCTTCCATAAAGTAGTCACTTACAGTGCCCTTAGGATTGGCTATTTTATTTAGAAATAATATTTAGAATTGTTGTGGTACTATAACTAAGAAGGAATTTTTAAGTAACTGCAGACCTGATATTAAAATCTAGCAAATTTTGAATGTATTAAATAATAATTTTGGTTAATAAAAATTAATATTACATAGACTACATTCACAAAAAATTAAATGAATTAAACTCACTTAAGTTACTGGAGTTATTTACTACACACTAAAGTTTCAGTTACATACTCAAATGTAAGTAACTCATAAGTAACAAATACTTATATCCCTTCACATTCCCCTCACTTATATATCCCTAAGCTACATTTTCAAATTTTAGACTTCTCAGTGAAAAAACAAAAGTAAATGATAACTAACAACTTATGTTAATCATCACTAAAAGTATATATACGAAGCATGCAACATCTGATAAGAAACAGAAAATTGACTTAGTTAATTAGTGATAACTTAATATTTAAAGCCAAGTTGTAAGGCTGAAAAAGGTTGTGCATATTCTAAAATTCAGTGATACCAAACAGCATTGGAAGCACCATTAAGTCAAGGTTGGCTCCACAATAACTACAAACCTGGAACACTTTACTGATTTTGTTGGCATTTCTAACATGGAAGTCAGAAAGTTTACAGGAGAACTAGAATGTGTGCAATGTTGGGAGATAAATGATATAAAATCACTGCAAAAACAACATTGAAATTAAAAAAATTATTTCGTTTATTGACATTTCTAGCAATTGCTCTTTATCAGGCTTAATTCATTTTCATACAAAGCTTAAGGAAGTGAGGTTACTCAATATGTTTTAGATAAAATAATTTTTTTATTTAAACTTGTTTTTACAGTGATTTTATTTTAAACGAAAAAAGTAGCTGTATGTATAATTACTGTAAACTAAGTCATTATCACAACTGTCACAGCCAACACTAAATATCAGTGCTGGACTTTGAAATGTGCTAATTTTATTTATTAGAGGCTTTACAAGATACATTTTAAAATATTCACCTGCATTTTTAAGCATTTTTTTTGGGGGGGGGTTAATATCCATTACACAACTGTTAAGTATCTTTGAACAAGTTCTTAGTTATTTAATAACTTCATAAAGCTTGTGTTCATGGCTTTAAAGTTTAAGTTTTGCTCAAAATTCATGTTCAAGAGCTTTTATTGTCTTATTTATTATGTTAATAGTATTACTTACTCATCACATACATGAAACAAATGAATTACATTACAATAAAAGTTACTCTAGTCTAAATTTAGCTAAGTTATATAAATTCAGTAACAACTTATGCAATAGAGTTGGTTATAATTTATAGTTTATACCATTTTAATTAAAATAAAAAAGGTATATTTCATTAATTGTCAATAATACTTCATCACAGGTTAATATAACAATTAACATTGCCAATTGCTGGAGCAAAGATTTTATTTTGCCATAAAATAAGCTTATTTTATACATATTTATACAAACGAGGCAAATACTGAAAATGAAATAGTAACGTCTGTAACTCAATCGCGTCTTCCACGCTAACAATAATACTATTATAACGACTCTTATAAGGCATTAGGCTAAGTTAGGCTAAACAGTATGCTTAAAGTGAAGTTAAACAGGAAGAAAATGGCGAACAGGTGCACGGGTGACCTTCTTCGATCTTTGCACGTTACTTGTTAGACAGCTGTAAAATCCACACAACATATAACTTCCACAAAATTTTGTGTTAAATACTAAATTTAAATCTATAGTCAAAAATCAAGTACAAATAACAATACATATAAATACCTTTTGAGTGTAATGTTCAACGAAAGGAATTAACCACCTTTAACAAAAATTATTCGCAATCTGTTTTCATTAAAATCCAATATACGTACCATGCTCTTGTAATGCTATACACATGCGCAATAGTTGGTGGCAGGGGTATATACATTCGTTCGTGTTTCTTTCTTATTTTTTAACTTTAGTTGATATTAACATAGTTTCATGGTCTAATAAATATACGTCTGAAAATACTAATATATCACACATTCATAGGGAGTTGTTTATTAGTTTCAATTAAACATACTTGTTACCATATCGCCTTTTTTTTTTGCTTTTTCCATAATCTTTCTTATTCAAATTATTGTGTGCATAGTATGCTATAATTCAATTTCCAATTCGTTATTATATGAACAGTAATTGATAAATGCTTACGCCATTTTTTTCCTTTTTACTTGTATTTCTAGCATATTTACATATATTTATGATCTCAAGGCAAAACAAGATTTCACTCTCCGACGTTTCGGTAACAAATTTTTATATGGAGCTACAGTGAGAAATCTCTTTCTGACGCATTTAAAAATTCCAAAGTGATATACTAATAATATTGTAAGTTATGTTTATTTTAAAAACTTTGGTATTGATTTATAATGAATAAATAAATGCCTAACTTCAGATATCACTCTATTATGTTTATGTTTATCAAAATTTCGGCTTTCGCCGATCAGGATGGTCCCCAGATAGAAAAAGGTTGGAAACAATTAGTCTATAATCTGCTGTACATTGATTTATTTATTGTTGTAAGCTACATTTTAAATATTCTAATTTAGATATTTGTTTCTAGAGAGAGACAATCATTGTGATGAGATAATGATCTACAAATTTTGTGTCGTAAGTAGAAAATAAAAATAATATAAATGCCAGAGCAAATGAATTAGAAATAAGTCAATCCAGTAAATTAATTAATGAGTGTTCAGTTAATGAGTTTAGCAGTTCAGTGTCTGTTAGTGACTTAGACAGTGTAAATTATTGTATCTATTAGTCATTGATTCAATTAATCAGTGAGTTAGCTAGCATGATTGTAATTGATCCATTGGTGAGGAAATTCTGCAAGTAAGAGTATTTATGAGTTAGGCAAATATTATTATCAAAAGTTTTTGAAGTTAGGCCTACAGGGGAACATAGCCTGTTGAAAACGTTATTGGAGAATTAAATTAATTTGTTATTGTTATATGGACTGGGCATTATTGTTACCAGATACTCTAAAAGGACTCACTCAATGATAGTGTCAAAGTGGTATTATTTTGATGCAAATGAAATAGAATTTTGAATAAACTTAAGACGACAGCATGAAGTATGATTGAAACTTTGCTGGAGATGATGAAACAGTTAGAAATGGGCGAAGAATAAAGAAACAGAAAATTAAAAGAACATGAATAAAGAGACAGATAATAAAAAGAAATAACAAGAAGAAATAGACAGAAAATTAGAATAAGACAAAGAAGGAAGAGAGAGCAATTTATAAGAGGAGATAAGAAAGAGAGATGTAATATTTAAGAAGAATTAAGAACTATATATATTTGAAAACAACACTGATGGAGCTATTGGAAATGTACAGAGAGATTACGCCATCAAGACAGAAGAAGTACAAAAAGATATCTATAAGGTGCAGCAAGGTCTGTGAGGTAGGAAAGAAACCATTGACAGGATAAAACATTTTTAAAAGAATTAGTAAATGCAAAGATCAAACCAACCACATTTTATTCTGCATCTGCACAGAAATTTCAACCGAAAACACCATTTACAATTAAATATGATACAGGAGAACTTATTTGGTATACACCTGCTACTGTTACTGCTACGACATCTGTGACTACAGGGCCTTCCTAGACTACTACAGCCATGGCACTACCAAATCAAGTTCAACATCATCGTCCAATCGATAAACCAATGTACTATGATAGAAAGGTATCATGGGAGCCATATCAGGTTCAGTTCAAAACATTTTCCAGGATGAATAGATGAAATAGTGTACAACGACTTAATAATCTTGCTGCCCATTTGAAAGGACCAGTTTTAATCACATTAAGCAACTCTCCAGCTGAGAACTATAACAACAATCAAATGTTGGTAGCTTCCATACCCATCAGGTTCAGAGTGACAAACTAGAAGAAATTATCAAAGCAAAGTTCCAGAACAGGGTACAGAGGGGAAAAAGACCTTAGTCAAACTAGCAGAAGATGTGGAAAGACTTGTCCAATTATCTTACTCACATATTCCACATGAAATGGTGGATCTCTTGGTACATGGGCAATTTATAGGTGGCATAACAGCCAAGAATATGTGAATTGATTGAAGCAGAAGGAGCGTACATCTATAAAGAAAGCTTTTCTGTTGGTGATGAAATTAAAATACATTAAAGTCGTAGATAATCAAGTAAACTATTTAAACATAAATTTCAACCAGATAAAAGGAATCAGCTGGTGTTGTAGAGCAAAGTTCAACTGAGAATACTCCATCTTCTCCAAATGAGATAAGAAGTTTAATAATTAAAGAATCCAGTACACGAGTCCATGGGTTTATTGATGGAAAACCTTGCAGTGTGTTGATTGACACTGGTTCTACGGCTATAAAAGTCTGACCCAATTTGGTAGTGAAGGGTGAGAAATTTCCTCCAAAGATGAAGAAAGAAAATGGATTGATGTGAACAGTAAGTGAACATGAAATTCCAGCAAGAGGAAAGTTGAAAGACACCATTATTTTAGGAAACAAGAACATTAGCGAGAAAACACACTAGTGAAATTGTTTCTAGATTTGGGATGCCTATGGAACTTCACTCAGCTCAGAGACGTACTTTGAATCAGCTTTGTTTGCAGAAATATGTCAGATCCTTGGAATAAAAAAGACCACGACAATAGCCCTCAATCTATCTTCCAATGGCATGATGAGGAGATACAACCATATACCTTTAATTTAATTAACCATTCATTTGGATAAACATCAGAAAATGTTGGATTGAGATCTTCCACTGTTACTTATAAGTTACTGAAGTACGTGAAGCTAGAGGCAACACAGCAGCATCACTGGTGTTTGGGAGAGAATTTAAAGAACCATTAGGTCTTTTATACTCACATTTGGAGGATAGTCATTCAACAGAATCTTAAATAGAATATGCAGACAGACTAAAGAATACGATTGATGTTGTACATGACATTACTCAGGAAAGACTTAAATCAGCTAGTGATAATATGAAAAAGTTGCTGTGATGTTAATGCTGTATTATATTGAGGTGACATGGTATGGCTGTACAATCCCTCCCACAAGAAAGAACATACTCTGAAGTTAACCAAACTACCCACCCTTCAAGTGACAGGACATAAGGGATAAGAGGCCACTCCATATGCATACCATAGTCCTCAGAAGAGGAAACCACAAAAAAAAAAAGACTTGGAGAATGGACAGTTTAGTGTGTTTTATTTATGTATTTATTTATCATTGTTCAACGGACTTCACAATTCAGAAAAGAAGCTATGTTGTAAGCTATATTTGTAGTATTTTAATTTAGGCGTTTGTTTGTTAAAGGGATGATGATTATTTAATAATCTAAAACTTCGTGTACTAAGTCTAAAACTAGAATGATATAAATGCCAGAGTGATTATGTGAGTATTCAGTGAATTAATGAGTATTCTGTTCGTAAGCTTAACAGTTCAGTGCCTGTTAGTGATTGACACTGTGAGAAATACTGTATTTATTTATCATCAATTCAATTAGTCAGTGTATTTGTTATTGATCCATTAGAAAGGAAACTTGCAAATAAATTTCTTTGTGAAGTTGGGCCTACAAGTGAACTTAGTGCGTAGTAAACGTTAGTGAAGAAATGATTTAATTCGTTACTGTTACATGGACTAGACTTGGCATTATTTTTTACCAAATAATATGAAAGAATATACCCAATGATAGAAAAGTGTTAATTTTTTCTGGATGGATAAGGTATTAATACTATGTAATTTAAACCAAAAGAATACCTCCACTCAAACGAGACCCAGGGGGTTGGTTTAATGACAGTATGAAACAGCATCAGATTACTGGAAAGTTGTGCAAAGAGAGCCTGAGTTAATTTTGGCTTTTTTGATAATTATAGTTAATAAATAGTGAAACAGACACTTCTTAAAGGCAAACATTTATATTGTTACGACATCGGGTGTCACGTGAACCTGGTAACACGTAATGAGTATCTCGAACGTTCCTGAAGGCTCGAGTGTTTGCTAGGCGCCCTCTATTTTGTATATATAAGACCGGCGAGAAGTGATGGCATAGATAACTGAATAGCAGACAGGGAGATAGAGGCAGATAATCGAGTCAAGCCGTAAGTAAAGTGCATGAATCGTTGTGAATTCTAGCGTGTGTTTAAGTTAATGTGACTGTGGAAATTAAGTGTACTGCAAAGTTGAATTGAGAAAGAATAAACTAGTTTTATTTAAGAAAGGACTTGTATCGCCGGAGTTCTTCGGAAAGAATTCCTACGGAAAATTAACAAACGAACACAGAGACTTAACAATATTTAATAACACTTGAGCTCTTCTGATACACCCTTTCTGCCCTAAACTAACTAGTTGCCCTCTACTGCCCCACCCATCAGAAAAATATAACGCTTTCATTGTCGTTAAGTGTACTAGACTTTAAACTCATCATTCTAGTAGGAATCCACCCAGTAAATGAACATTTTTCTATACTGGTGTCATATTTGTTATTCAGTAAATGAGACTACCAACCTCATTGAAATGAAATATTTCTTTTTATTAAAGCAACATTTAAATCATTATCAGGCATAAAATGCTGGTACACTCAAAAGATCCCACACAAAATTATCAACAGGCAGGGATCGCTGAAATGTGTTCTTTTGATTGAGTACACACACTTTTTTCTCCCAGTTTCGCCTGTGTAGAAATTGCTATATGTTAGTGGCATATTTGAAAAAAAAAGAAATTTCCACCCAGAATAAAACCCACATCGCTGAACATTGCCTAGAGCATGGAATCTGTAACCAGATATTACAAAGGAGGAACATAATGAAAAATTATAATCAAGCCTTGCAATTTATACTTCATTAAAGACCT